AAGAGGAACGAACTTGGGGGGAGGGTAGAGAAAATAGTGCAACAGTGAATGAATGGAATCCCAAAATCTCTGTAAATGTTCATTAAAATTAATAACATTTAATTAAAAAATATTTGCTTTTCAGGAGGAAGTTGTAAGCCTCAAAACAGATCTAGCCAATTTTCAATTCATTGAGAAACATTTCATACTCTTCAGGTTACGCGGAACAAGGTGGCGCCTGGAGTCATTTAACTTCTTGTGGCTTGGGCATCTTCCCTTCAAGATTTCCCAAGGGAGGGTGAACTGTCCTGTAGATCTGGTATGTAGTATTCTTCAGACTCCACCTTGTTCTGCGCACGTGCTCCTGGGACAGGCTACCTGTTTGGATGGTGGGGGGAAGATGAGCTCTCCCAGCTACTGCTCCTCTTCCTGGCTCCCCTGAATTTCTCTCATTCAGCCTCCCAGCCTTCCCCAGTAACCCGCAGACTGATATATGTATATAAAATAATTCTACTGTGAAAATTATACAGCAACTTTAAATGCTTACGATAGAGTGAAATGCAGATAATACAGCTTCATGATAATTCTGATGGTTAACGACACAGAAGGGAGCTCTGGTGGCCTAGTGGTAAGAAACTGCACTGCAATCCCAAAGACATGCAGTTTGAATCCACCAGCCACTCTGTGAGAGAAGGATGGGCAATCTCCTCCCTTGCAATTACTCAACAACTACTATACAAGAATTATTAATCATATAAACAAAACAGAAAAGATGCTAAGAATTAAAAATAGTTTGATTAAGATCGATGTAGGGTTCTAAATGAATTTACTTGCTATGGAGTTTGTCATTCATAATGACTTTCCTAGATTTGACTTTGCCATGTGGATACCTGGGAGTATGTGAATGGGGCTTATTAGCCTAGCCACAAGGGGACTTGCTAGTCTCATCATTAAATTGAGCAGGTCCAGTAACAGAGAGAGTCTCTCTGGATGTCCTTCAGACATTCGTGGGTGAGCTAGACTTAACAGCAGAAGCAGCCTTGGGCAAAGCAGAGAACCAGGGCACCAACATGACATGAGGGTGACCCTGGAACTGCTATATCCCATAGACAGAACCAGAGTGAAGCTAAGAAACTTTGCCTAAGTTTGCTGGATAACTGGTGGGGATGGAGGGGTACAGAAGCCAACATTGGTGAGACTGAGAACTTTTTAATACTGGCCTTAAGCTATGATGTTCAAGGCTGAGATGCATGTGAGCACATTTCAGAAGGTGTCCTGACTATACTCTGCTACTAACCTTACAAATGTTAAATTTTCTCAATATACATCTGTGTGGTCTGTGAATTAGTGCATTAGATTTTGGACCCAGTAGAGAAGTCAGATTAGGTGGAGATGAGTAGAACGAGGTGTGGGAGCTTGGGAGACATTTCTGACTTCATGGGAATGGATTTTGTGCTTCTGATGCTGTTGACAGAGACAGTTTCCACTTTGTGAAATTAGCAAAGATCAGATATGGTCATCCTCATGTGGCTCTTACTCTTTTTTATG